CCGGCGTTATCACTCCGTAACTTATCATTTCTCACATTAAATATATTATTCTATCCAGGGCCTGAATGTGTTCTTTAGGAGCGCTGAACATCACATTAGTGATTGATACAATAGGAGTCAGCATAGATAGTGATGGAATTTCCACATAAGACCCTATTGTTTGGGTATTTACAACACGCCAAATGTGTAAATGTGGATTGGATTATTCTGGTTGTGAATATAAATGCACTAACATCTTCCTAGACCAATATCCGACAAGTCTTTCTTAAGGATTTCGGTCACAGCCCCTACACTGACAGACGCAACGCCAAATTACGTGGCGGTAGAAGACGTTTTCAGACCAAGCTAGCAGAAAAAAACTCGAAGTAACCCCAAATATCTCTACAGATTATTGACCGGGTAAAAGCCAATGAACAAGGTGGTCTGTATTCTTAAAGCACAGATCCCCAATGTCAGATTCATTAACCGACTAAACCGGAAACCTGAAAACATGGAACACATTTCAGGCATAGTGGCAGTTGACTGCTGGGAGATACCTGACTTCCGGGTTGGAGCTCAGGAGAATAAGATATCTGGGCTTAGGTGATATGAACAGGGAACCAAGAAGCCCTGACAAATTACGAAAGCTGTTTTTCGGGACGTTATCCCATTTTATTCAAAGCTTGTAAAACACTGGCATTTATTTTTGTCTCTAATCTATTTTAGAGAACATAAGCTTTCGTTCGATGTATGATTCATTGCCATACTTTTTTGTTCCGAAGCTACTGTAATTTAAACATAATATCTCGCACCCTATTTCCTACTCTAATTCCCAGCTTTGGACATGATTTTATTTTTCCTAATCTTTGTACGTTGTGGTTGAGTTATTCACTTATTTATTCATGTACCATTTTACACTAATCCGAACTTAAATCAGGATATCGGGAATAGGTCGAGTAGTGTTCCAGTTGTCTTGTCTTCTCTCATTCGCGTGCTTGTCAGTCAATCAGGTGATAGGATAGTTTTCTCTCTACTCCACTTCGAACTCACGCTTACTAGCCTCAAAAGTTAGGTCGGTCAGCCTATCGCACCATGGTCTTAATCTGGATTAGATAAGTATCCTCAGCACCAAAAGCGGGTAGACAGACCAAAGGACATAACACCAGGAATGTCACCAAGATGTGAAAACTCCAACTTGTAATCCTGAAGTGTTGAGTGGAATCTATCAGTATGCCAGTGTGTGACCTTGTCGTAAACACGCTAGATTCACACTAACTACTAAAAGAGTGAAAGAGGGTCATTTCCTCTCCGATCTTCAAAAAACGTGATAAAAAATACCCAGCTTATTGCAGATCAATCTCACTACCCCCCTTCAAATGCAGTAGAAGGTAGTGGAAGGACTGGTCAGTGAATAAATGACGGAATACAAGGGTAGAAACAACACCCATCATGAAGCCCAACAGTGATTCAGGAAAAAGCAGGTCATGTGCATCCAGTCTCCTCATAGCATGAAACTGCTGTGCGTGAAGACAAGTTATACACAATGGTCACGCCTGAAAGGCTGAACCGTGCCACCTGATTGAATTGAAGTGAATATTCTCGCCTTCTCCATTGTTGGCCTTCTCTCTGCGTTAACCCCTGAATATCTATTTTCCCAGTTATTTCATGTTCAGCTTTGCAGATTGTGTGGTTAGGACCAATACCACTACATATCAAGCACTCTAAGTCACCCCAACCCTAACATATTACCAGAACATCATCACCACGCTCTTCGAGGCAACCCTCGGAAGATTGCAGATCAAAAAGTACATTCTCAATTTTTCTCATTAACACTTGTCCCCATTTAGAATGCTCTCCAGCCGAAGTGGCCATAGCTCCATCAGTGGATGGCTTTGAGAGGACACTTGACAATCAAATACTCACTCATGGATTCTCATCTGAAGGCTGCTATTAAACGCAACTCAATTTCGTAAATGTGGCCTTCAGCTTAGCGACCAATCAGAATGAGGCGGGAATTATTACATCCGCCATCTTTGTAAGCAATGGTGGTCGGCTTTCTTCGTTCTGTGCTTCTTTCAGCTATTTCTTTTGTGTAGCTATGTAATTTAATGTCTACGTGTGCTAAAATGCCGCAGTTAGTGTAATGTTCTATATGTTGGTGTGAAGTTTATTTAGAATCAGCGATGTTTTCTGGGTTTTTGCTGCTTCTACTCAAGTCAATGTATTTCTTCAGGGAATCTGGCTAGTCTTGTGTTATAAAATGTCGGCCGGCTTTCTTCGTTCTGTGTTTTTTCCGCTATTTCTTTTGTGTAGCTACAGAATTTAATGTTTCAGTGTTCTAAAATGCAGAAGTTAGTGTAATACTCTGAATGTTGGAGCAAAATTTTTCCTGATTTAGCTTTGTTTTCTGGGTTTTGGCTGCTGCTACTGAAGTCAATGTATTTCTTCAGCCAAGCTGGCTAGTCTTATCGGTTTTGTTTTGACTTGTTTTCTAGATATCCAAAGCCGAAGCTCGTTTTTTAGCTAAAATGATTGTTGCTGCCGCCTGTGACTCTAACTGTCCGCATGTTCATTCATAATTGTCCATTATGATGTTGTCGGCAAAACGAAAGGAAATAATCTCCGGTTTTCAATTTTCTTCAGTACTATGGGCAACACTATCCCACCAACGAGTCAAACTAATACAGAGTGCCCTGCAGTAGGGGATATCACTACTGTTTTCGAAAGGACTCAGACTTCCGATAACCATAGATGAAGTCACAGATGCTACCAATCTATTGCAAAGGGTTTGTTATGTAAAATATGCCATATATCAGTAATAGAGGGGTTGTATTCATTACGTCGTGCGTTAAAACAAGCTTAACATTGAAAAGCCGGAAATCTGCTATCAGTGTATAGTATATGTTTGCTGTTTTGGCCATAAAAGGAAGCCGAAGGGTCATGATCAGATATGATCAGATCATATTTCAACACTCGCAAATTTGTGTTTTTTACGGTATGACTTCAACCGGTACCTAATATGTTCACCCTTACAATGAAAAGTACCTGCAAATTTTCACTTTCATATTCGAATTATTTTTGGACAACTGTCTTCCAGTTTGAGTGCATCGTATGCCATGGGTGACTAGATTCCTACATTATTCGTAGTTCCAGTATAAGTTTCTCACGCAGTAAGTTCAGAGTAGACACTAGTCTTTCTAAATTAGCCTGTCAAGATAATATCCGTATTCTCTATTTCAGTTAATCGATGAAGACATGTACCACGTTCATCTGCTCTATACTGCCATTTTACTCTAATTCTAACTGTTATATCTTACTTCACAAAAATAAAATTGCAATATGCAGCAAACACAGACTTATTTGTTTTGATGGAGATAGAGGGTTCATGGGATTTTTAGCAGGACTGAAGTAATATTCTTACCAAAGAGCTAAGCGAAGGCGTAGACCAATGTAAGGCACCATACAGGGTGCCTTTGAGTTACAAGCGTTCCACTAATGCGGGTAGGGGCATTGCTTGTTTACCATATGGCATTTGAATAAAGAGCTATAAGATTAGACGCAGGTGCGGTTAGGATGTGTAACGCGTATCCAACTTATGGTGGTTACAATAAGTTATGAGAGGACCCGAGTCTGTAGGTTTCCCAAGAAAATGACGAAGATATGTACTAAATCACTTAAATTTACTACATATGAACTAAATGCTGAGAGGCTCGTATATCACAAGCTTCTTGCAACGATTAAGTAGATCAAACAAAGTAGTATTAGATTCAAAAATTTATTCAGAAACTTTCATTAAGAATCGAATATCAAACAGAGGTTTAAACGAAGTCCCCGTTTAAAATTTGCACTGGTAATGTTAAGCTGCAGTATTTGTTGTTTTTTCCAAACAAAAGGGTAAAAGAAGTAACTCAAAAAGTACTGGAAGTGGTTGTAAGACTAAAATGGGCATCCAGCATCCTCTTTATAATCTACTGTTTGTTGGGTCTCCCGTAAACAGTTTCATAGGGCCGTAGTTCTAAGGGCGAAACAGTTCTTACGTACGGAGTAACGCAGTCAGACGTAGCGAATAAACATTAAATACAGAGCAAAATTAACAATATAATCTAGTTATTTAATTAAAAATACATTATGAAACGACAAAATCTGTGGTTACTTGAACGCACAGATGACCGTTATTACACTGGACGATATATTAAGTTTACATGGTTGCGTTGTGGATAAATTCACCCCATCTGAACCATCTCCATGTCTTACAAATCACCATGGCAATTTTTAACGCATAATCAGCACCTACTTCATATCTCACTTGTAATAATCTTCATTTCCCTCTGATTGAATCACCTCCATCTACTTACAAATTACCGACTAAGTGAGTTATTTATTTGTTCATGAAACAGTGGTCTTCTCTTAGCCCTTGGATTGCCATTTTATCATTTTCACATCGCAACCAACCAACCTCTTCTTGCCTGATAATGTGATAGCCACTGGTATATAGAATTCCTACTTTCCTGAGAAAAAGGCATAAACTTGATATGCAATATATACTCTGGTGTCGGTTATATACGTGAACAGATCTAAGTAGTATGTGGCAAAAAAAAGAAACTCTCGAGACTCTCATGGATACGACTACTCCACAAGCTAGAGTAAAAACGAAGAACATTTAAATTTTGCAAATTATTTGTTTTATTTGACGTAGCCAATGTAACGTAAGGGTAATAAAAAACGTACTAATTTGAAATAGCGTGACAATTTGACCAAATATCGTTTAATTATGCCCGAAGAAAATAAACCCATAAAAGTTAAAATTATTAGCATGGGAGATGAAAACACGGGGAAGGTATGTTCTCACTTCTGTTAAAATCCAGACCTGTCTGATCAAACGGTTTTGTGAGAAACGTTTTGTTTCAAAGTACTTACCAACGATCGGTATAGACTATGGTGTATTCAGGTAATGTTATGGCATAAACTTATATGGCAGAACCAAGGTAGGAAACAATGAGCTACGCGTTGATATATTTGACATGTCTGGAAATCCTTCATTTTACGATATTCGAAATGAGTTCTATAAAGATACAAATGGTGCTATTTTGACTTTTGACGTAACAAATAGAAAAACTTTTGAAAATCTGATTCGGTGGGTTCATGAGTTGCATTTCGAATCCGGTGAAGCTAATTCGGTTTCATCTCCAGTCATAATTCTTTGTGGTAACAAGGTAATGCTAAATTTGTCCATTACTGAGTTTACTTAAATTTGTCGAACCAGTTCTTTTCACAGATTAAGCTTAGTTTACCCCATTTGAGTGCAAATTAATGTCATGATTTTTGGTTATACTATTTCACTCCGTGTATGTAATACCTAAAGTTAAGCGTGCTAGGTTTGTAGAATTATGGTCTACTATGATATTAGTACTGCTCTAATAATAGACTTAATCCTAAAATTGTAGATTTTTTATGATATAACTGCCTAATCTATAAGATCTTACATGGAAGTCACATCATCGTCTACACCAACTCACTGTATCGTAACAACTATCAATACATGATGAAGAACAAGATTAGGCTAGAGAAAGAACAATATATTAATTATCAATAAAAGATATAAGGTAACATTCAGCAAGGACCACGCCTGCATGACCGAGACATGCCATTCGACCAACTCCAACTCATTCAATTCCTTGTTCGCGCCTTCTCCATCGTTAGGTATTTCTCCGCGTTAAATATTGAATATCTATTTTCCGAGTAATCTCGTATTCGGCTTTGAGGGTTGTGTGGTTATGGTCCAGTAACACCACAGGTTCGGCTTATATTAAAGAATGATCAGGTCAATTTGTCGGGAAGTTGTTTCGCTTTATGACTTCCCATCCTTTTTCACAATTTTACATATTTTTTTATGTCACGATGTAACTGACTCAGTTTGTCTTCTCAAGGAATTCAGTAAGAATTGATGTTTTTCAGCACATTGACACATAGAATAGCTGTTACATAATATAATCTTATTGATTGTGTTAGCAATTTAATGTTTCCAGAATGCTTATCTATACTTTTTTGACGCTTTCTATAAGTATCATAATTCTTTTGAACATATTTTACTCACTTATTTTCACAAAGTTTATCTTAAGGAATAAGTAAAAGAGGCTGTCAGTTAGAAAAGTTGAAACTCACTTATGCATATATTGTAGTCATTTTCGTGATGAGAAAAGCACTTTTCAACATGTTTCTACATCAACGCTTATAATTATATTGAACGATCCCTGTTTAAATTAATAGAATTGAATTATTTTGAATATAATTGTTTTAACTCTTTTCAACAAGATCAGTCTATAAAGGTTTGTTAGATTTGAATGTAATTGTACTCCGCAGGTTGATAAAGCGCCAAGAGCAGTGAGTTATTATGAAGTATCTGAATGGGCAGCAATACATCAGTATCCATACCTTGAAACATCCGCACTTAGTGGTCATGGAGTTACAGAAACTTTTAATGTAAGTATCATTTTGAAAAATTATTAAGCCGAGTCTTTTGTCAGGTTTATATTGGCTACATACAGATCAGTTATGTAATCTGGTTTATTTAAAGATGACATTATTGTGTGGCAGCTTCTTGTGTATATATAAATTAATAATTATGTGTGGTACTAAACAAGTTGAAATCTTTCAACATTTTTTTTCATTAAATTAAAGTTCTGATGCATTGATATATAATTTAAGGATGAATTATAAACTCCGTTGCTCACTAATTACCATAGATTTATACAACAGTTTGTGTTAAAAAATATCGTATGATGAGATTTCAGTTTTATAATACTAATGTAGAGTAAATGTATTTTAGTCTTGGGAATTTGTTTGTTAGATTAATTAATAATTTAAATTACACATCTATATTACCTGGACATCAGGCAGAAAATTTGTAGTTCCTTACACTCTTTGATGCATTTGACTGATTTAGTTTTATTACGTTATTACGTTGTGACTTTATTTAGCATTCCACAATAAGTCTTGTGATTATTAAGTGTCTCAGTCCACTTGCTAGGGTTTCATGGTTCCAGTTTGTGTTTTTAGCACACTTTATAAAGGTCGATAGTAATAAATCTCCAGTTTTCTTATTTTGCTTATCATTAGTTTTTATGTGTTGATGTACAGAAACACGCAAATTTCCCATTTATCCTGCATTAACCCACACAGTAATAGTACCGTACGTGAGTAAAGTTTGTTACACTTACTCTAAAGAATAGAGTAAGTTAAACGTGCACTATTAATAATGTCTTTAAAATATTTCATTTACGTAATAGAGCCCATGGATTATCATTGTCTGACTTGAAAGTGCAGTGTATGTAAAGGGATGCTCGCCAGTAATTCATGTTGTGACCTCCTTTAAAATAAATCACCTTTTATTTCAACATGTAATATTGTTAGAATTACATACGGAACAGGGATTGTCAGATAGAATGGCGTAAGTCATAATTTAGTCACGAAACATACATTCAGAGTTGGTAAGAATGTATTAAACAAAGTGATTCAGGTGAAAAAAATGAAATAGAGGGTTTGATGCTTTATTGGGAAGTAATAAAAATTTCTAAGGAGTAATAACTTTGGCCCACCATAACTGTTGGTGTACTCAACGCAATCATATATTTGAATTGCAACTACCAGAAAAATCTGAGCATTTCACTCAGTTTACGACTTATCAATTGAATTTACTTGAATCTAAGAATTAATTCCCATACTCACACTTGAACCTAGCATCTCTCTCTTCAAAGTTTAACGCTTCATCCCTTAAACAAGTAAGTGCACATCATTACCATCTTGTGCAATGGATGTGATACTTATTAAAATGATTCGCTCAAAATGTACATATGACAACAAAGACTAATTAGAATTCATTCCTGAACATCAAAAACGGAAAAATACAAACATTTACGAAGAACTAATGTAACCAGTTGCTAACGACCCAGTTGCGTAACCATTGAATGTACTTCAGTTACCCTCAATCAGACATAATAATTCAAGTCAGGTGTGTGCTATTAATTATGGTTGAACTTAAATTTCTGAGGAAATACATGTCAACAATTGATTAACAATTTTGTTTAAATTTTCGAAGGGATAAATATATATTTGTGTAAATGAGTTGTGCAAATACTCTTGATTTGATTGGCTAATAACGTTATTGACTGGTATTAGTTATCCGTGAAGAATAAAAATGTAGATTATATCAAAGTTGTTTGTTCAAGAAAGGACTGTGTACTGACAGAGACTAGAAATATAAACAATAGGAATCTACAAATTAGTCAACCAGCCATATGGAATGTAGAACCTGACACAAATGTTCATTGACTCAAGTTGCTGCACAACATCAGTACAAGGTAATAAGGTTATCAAGACAAATATCAGAGTATTAGAAGTAACTTTAATATCACTGGTAATAGAAACAATTAAATATTGGATGAAGGAAAAAAAGTACTGAAAGATTTCAGAAATCAGAGTCTAACGGAAGGCAGAATGAATTCTCACACACCATTGACAACAGTTCCGATTCCTATCAACCACTGGTTACAATAACCTTGTGAAGCCCAAGGAGGTAGTCTATACCCATTAACACAGCTCAGTCTAATGATCAATGATTTTATGGACAAGTGACATATTTTAGTTTTACCACCTTAGCTTTCTTCCAACCTAATCCTACATCATACAGTATCGCCTGTTGATGTACAGAGTGACTGAATGTATGTAACACAAGTTTCGACCACATCAGTTGTTGATGATCCACTATCTCATCAGTCGATTTGTCACCTCTACCTAGTTATTTATTTATTTAAACCCATAAACATTGGTACAAGGAGGTAGCAAACAGATATGCGTCACACAGGCCACTTGATTTAGGTATGGACACTTACCGGGTGCCCAAACCGAAGCAGGTGGTTTCCTGAGGAGGCCACAACCGGAACCTTCGAACTAAAGGTCTGATCCCCAAGGTAGTGGAGCAACGTGAGGAGATGTAGTCACATTGTAGCCGGTGGCCAACAACTGGTTCATACGCCATTTGTTTCCTTAGGATCCTTGAGCCCATTTACATCATCGGTTTGGTATCAGGGTTTTCCGTATTCTCTTAGATAGATCCTCCATATCCACCAACCCGGTTAAAGCATCGGACATTCGCTTTTCATTCTCCTAACTTCGTGATCCTAGAAGACAGTGAGTAGGACTTCCCTGACAGTGGTTGTATGCACGTGACCATGTGAGAGCATTTCGAGAGGTAGAGCTTAATCTCTCCACTCTCAACCCTACCTATTACCCTATCCCTAACCTCGGTGGTCCCAAAGTACACGAAGAATGCCTTGACGACCAAGTTTAATTTAAATTTGTTAATTTGAAATATGCGCATAATCCATTTTTGTCCTCTTTTGGTTGTATATTTAAAACAAATCTTTTTTCCAGACTTTATTTGAAAGTATTATTAATCCAGAAATCTATCAATCTTATATACCGAATCATGTTCATTTTCATCAAAATTCAAATAATCCTACATATCAAGAAATGAATTCTATACATCATAATTCAACAATGAATATTCCAAAATCTAATTCAAAATTGAATCATTCATTTAAACAATTCAATATGTCTTCTTCACCATCATCAACCGCTTCATTTAAATCAAATCAAAATGAACCATGTAAAATGACATATCAAAATCTTTTAGAAATAAATCGTATTAAAAATGCTAAAAATAATTATGAACGATTAGGGATTAGTATGACAGCTAGTAGGTAAGTTTGTTTAGAGTTAATTAAGTAGTAAATATATATTTGTCATGTTCTTTAAAGTGATAAATAATGCTGATATTGATGGCTCTTTTATACTTTCACTTCAAACATCATAAACACTTTAATCAGTCAGTCAGCTACAAGGTAAGATCAGGCATATATATGTGTCGGTTTAAGTTGTTACATTTCATTAGCACCACAAAATGAATACTGAATTCATAGAAGTAGTTCCTTCAATGGTAGTAATGTATAGAAGAAACATTGACATAAGATGGTTTACCTACCAGTAGAGAGTGGTCCTGTAATACCATTGAGTAAATAATCATATATATTACGTATGTCTGAACACCGATCACTACGACACTCAATGCTGACTAGTGTTGGAGACAGATGGAAGAAAGTTAAGGGCGACCAAACCAAGAAGTGGCATCAGTCCAGAAAATCACTAACGTCAGGTTTGAGCCATGTTGGTAGATGCAGACTACTTGATTGAGGTCTGCGCCACTACCGTAACTAATAGTTGAAGACTCTGGGTGATATGGCTCAGAATCGATCATAAAGGTTTAGGTGTATACACTATTTTTCTTCCATTAAACCATCGGATTAAAATTACTTTATGCCTTTCTTTCTACGAAAGAACTATGCTTTTTACCATATCTTATTCTTATATGCAACCTTTCTTCTACATATTACTACCATTGAAGTAACTACTTCTATGAATTTGGTGCTCATCTCGTTGTGCTAATGAGGTGTGCCAACTTGGACCGATGCGTATAATTGCATATATATATAGTCTAAAAAATCACTCATTCAATCAGTTGGTTGCTTATCAGTGGAGATCCAACGATTGGATTCAAAATTTTCGGCTTCTAGCCTCAGTTTGTTTGAGCACACCAACAAGAAAATATACTTTATAAAAAAGAATTCCAGAAGTGATGCTCGAGATAAGCAGTTGCAGTGTCGGTTACTATGTTAAGCCCACATAACTTATTCTGTCTTCTGGACAGGCCAATTTATCCATTCTTCTTGAGTCAAGTTTTGACTTCGTTAATTATTTTCTTATCAGCCTTGACGGTTCTTATATGAGCGTATGTGTGTTCACTTCTTATCCTGTTAATCACATGTCTGTAACATTTTTATTTGGTTATGAATATTGATTCACGCTTAATTAAATGGAGTTGGTTCACATACATTCTCCACCGTGCATCACTTCGTTTGGCATCTTTCCTTAGATCGTCTGCTTGGATCAATGATTATACAAAAACCATACGTATTCAACAATCCATTCTCATATTTGACTTATTTAATTCCGTTATTCGCTAAAGCGAGTCAAGTCGATAATTATATACGAGAATAACCAGGATGTATATTTCAGTCACATTCATTCGTACGATCTAATTGGAGTCAGATATAAGGTCACTAAACAGTATCTGATTTTGATCTTTATTATACTAGATCACTAACTAATATATCATAACATCCTGATTGAATATAAGCCAACAGATATAAAGTCTTTCATATTGATATGAATGGAAAATTGGTTTCATTTATTTACTTAACTTTCTCAATGTTGTTTAGCATTAGATATTTTGATAAACAGTGAAGTTATTGATATATTGATGATATAGTTATATTACCAAACAATTTGCGTTCGACCTAAACGCTGTTTACTTTGTTGTTCTTTTTCTTTTATGTTATGAAGTTGTTCGATTCTGCAATAGATATACACGTTTCTTATACGCTGACCCAATCCGCTAAGCGAGTGAGAATGACTTGGAAACTGTGACTGGGTAACCATGACTCAGTGCATAGTTGGTTTAATCTAATGAAGTGCCTTGTTTGTATACTCTCATCTACCGTTAGACCTTGATGGTAGCGTGTGAGCACAGGAACTGGATGCTTGGACTCACCAAGTCTATCATCTGTGAGAAATAGAAATGTTAATTCATTTTTCTATTGTTTGTTTAAATCTTCACATTGATGTTTAGGACTGCAATTGATCAGTCTCTTATTGGCATTTGTGCATATTCTGCGTATTGCCTCGATATTGCGTTAATTCACAAGCATTATAAGCAAAGGTAGATGGTAGGTAGCAGTGGAATCTAGGACACAGGTTTCGTCTTATTTGGGACTCGTCAGTTGGATTAAAACTTCACACTATTGCACAAGCGGGTAACCGTTTGTACTCAGTAGCTAAGTGGATAATGCGATGGAGTTTGAAGCGAACGGTACTGGATTCGAGTCCTTGAGTAGACGCCAACTCTGCGATGCGGGCACATCCGGCTGACGAAACGCGCGTCCCAGATTCCATTGCCAACCGCCATCCATCTTAGCTTAAAATAAAATGTAAATATATATCATGTTACATTAGAAAAAGAACATTAGAGCTCAATCAATAAAGAGCACTAGCAGTTACTTATCAATAATTTTTTCTTTAATTATTTATTGATCTTAAGCGAAGAAATTCAAAAAGCATTTCGTCGTTTAGCCTTTATTGTACATCCTGATAAAAATAATACTCCAGGCAGTGAAGAAGCTTTCAAAATATTGGTAAAAGCAAAAGATTCTTTACTTTCATTATCAAATGGATCCAGTTGGTTCAGTTCTAAAGTTTAATTGTAGCGAATGTTTTGTTTTCCTCATAATAATTTGTTATTATTGACATTTCATAAACTGTGATACTTCTTGTGAATGACATCCTTTCTATGAATTATATGTAGGTTTGATTATTTTGATATAAAATATTAACTACTTGTAAGTAGGACAATTTATTTTGCTAAATATTTTCACCATGATTTATGTACTTATTATGAATGAAGTCTATTTGTACACTGAATATCAACAATACTTATTCGTAGATTTGTATTTGCATTACCAGATAGAAATTGTTGTGATATACCATACTTTAAAGTATTACTGATCACTTCTAAAATTTGAATTGTAGGTTACTAAGAATACTTTTTTTGACATTAACGAATCTATACTGTTATATCAAGTGAATTAACCAAAGAGTAGTATTGTAACTAGGTGGATGATGTTCAATAAGCATTTCCTAGAGAGTATGAGATTAATTATTTTCCACTGAATGGTGTGAACAGGATTGTAAGTGTTGGGACGGCTTCCGAGAATTACAACGGAGCCTCGAGAGACCCTTAAGAAACCTAAGAGTTTCCATCTGAACAGAACGTGATGGGGCTTTCTAGAATATCACTTTGGCATGCTACTATTGTACAATAGCATAGCCTGCCTCTTTGTGGATTGGCTTAATTATAATGTTGATATAACAAACGCTAATATCTACAAATATCCATGATCTTCTGTACATTTTAATTCTTACCCAACAAGCACTTCTTCAATCTTCTGATTTGTGACTATGGGGTTCTATACGTTCGAGTGCCGTAGTTGTATATCGTATTCTGCGTTAATCATGTAGCGAACTTAACACTAAGCATAGAACAATCTGAAATATAGCTTGAATATTAATTAGATCTTCCTTATATGAAGTGATATTCAGTATGAAATCTTTGAAAAGATACTAAATGTTAAAACATCCACATCAACTATTCTTTAGGATAAACGTTAAATTAATTACTTCAGAATTAACTAACTGGATTGGGGACATGTGTTATGATTTTAGTTAATTGACGACATAACAAAACTTAATGTTTATTCTGAGATGATGGAGAAGATTTGTAGCTCAAGTGGATGATTTTGATGAAGTTTTATTCTTTGAACTAGATCGTTTGATCGTGCAGCTTTCGTCGTTTCTCTGAACATCATCATCATCAGCACAAACTTCAAGTAGAATATAATTTTAATTGTTAATTGATAAGTTATATAATATCCCGACCGTTGTTGCTACCTTAACGTGGTGGTCGGGCTTGCCTACCGTGATGAAGCAACCGAGCTATACTGGCTGGAACAACCGTTCCTCTAGGTCCTACCATGTCAGACAAGTCGGTTGAAGAGCGGTAAGACTAAAAGCAACAAACCTAAGGTCCGAAGGCGAAGTCGTATTGCTGACTGTACAGAGGTATGACAGCAGTGAGGTGTTTCCTTCAGACAACCAGCATGACAACGATGCTGCCTTCCCACAAGGAAGGGTGGGGTTATAAAAGGTCGACCCTAAAAATGCACACCTCGCCTTATCTCACGGATATCCGTCTCCGGCGATAAGGTCCCAACAAGTACGGAGCTAACACAAAAATTACCCATAAAAAGGTCGTGTGTGACCGACCTCAAACAGTTGTCCCTTGGGCACTGCGGTCACGCTCCCAGGTCACTAAGACCACGTCTAATCCAATTTCGTTTTCAGGCACCTCCAGAAGAATTCCCTCCAGTTATATAATATAACTCACATACAAATGATTGGATCATTGAATAATGATCGATATTTTTGTTTATCTAGTCTTTTAGTGCTCATCGAATTCAGTCAATCACGTACCAATATGATTATTAGTTTAAGTGACCTCAAACTTGATTGATTTATCTTAATTTGCACTGCAAACAAGATAATAAAATAATGAGGGTTAATGTTTACTTATCAAGCTTGCCGATTAAAAAACCTTTATTGATGTAGGTTCCATCATTTGAGTAATACAAGTTTATTAAAGTTTGTAGGTTTCACCTCCCTTTTAGTTGTTAGCAGATATAACTTTCTATAATCTAATCTTAAATGTTTAACTGAATACTCGGGTATACAGTATTTTAATTTTATATCATCAATAAGTATTTATAACAAGTCCTTGTAAAAAAAAGAGAACATGTTTATGAATTTCGGGTTTATGAAGATCATTCATTTTTAAAGTTAACAAGTCATGGACTGACCCTAGTTAGTCAAACATTGAAAGCTGAAAAGCAATAAACTGCTGTTTCACTTTAGTATTAGACTCTTCAGAAACTCACATCTACCAACTCACTCTTGGTCGGATCAAATATTTTAATATCTCTCGACAAGCACCTAACCTTTATCCCAATGATTTACCTATTCACAGATGTACGCTACAAAGATTTTCATAGGCTTCCTATATAAATTAAAACAATTTATTATCTACAACTAAAAATTATATAATAGTTGGATTCATGAGTCAATTGAAGCTAGACCACCATAGAAAACCTGGAAGCACTGGACAGTGATTTCGTTTCAATATGGTAGTCATTGAAGACAATGGTGGACGGTGAAGAAATTGCGTGAATTAGTTACCATTAGACATTATTACTGTTGGATTCCATGGCTCAGTGGTTTAGAGGTTAAGCATTTGTTTGCAAGACCGAAGGTACGGGGTTCGAGTCCCGCGTGAGGAATTGTGATTGCGTACTGCTGAGGAGTCCCACACTGAGAGACGGAACCACCGTCCAGTGCTTCCAAGTTTCCCATGTTTGTCTAGCTTCAATTGACTCATGAATTCAACTATTAAATTACTAAAATCTCCACAAACCCTCTTCTAGAGAAAACATATATGATTATTGATTGAGTCAGTTGAAGCTAGACCACCATGGAAAACCTGGAAGCACTGGACGGCCGTTTCGTCCTATTGTGGGACTCCTCAGCAGTGCGCATCCACGACCTCGCCCCCTGCGAGATTCGAACCCAGGACCTACTGGTTTCGCGCCCGAGCACTTAACCACTAGACCACTGAGCCGGCATCCAACGGTGTTAATGTTTAACTTCAACTAATCCACGAAATTCAGCGACACATTCACCATTGTCTTCAGTGAGTTACTATCTCACAACAGACCTGGTTGAACTCCACTGGTCACTACTTCTCACTAGAACTCCAGGATATACCTCGTGAAGCCAGTCACTAGTGAGCATATGTTGATTAATATCAGATGGGTTTTTGTGGAGATTGTAGTAATTTCAATGGTTAAGATCATGAGTCAGTTGAAGCTAGACCACCATGGAAAACCTGGAAGCACTGGACGGCCGTTTCGTCCTATTGTGGGACTCCTCAGGTTTTCCATGGTGGTCTAGCTTCAACTGACTCATGATCTTAACCATTGAAATTACTACAATATCCACAAAAACCCATCTGATATTAATTATTGATTAGTTTATTCCTTATTTATGAATAAGTCATTAGGATTTGTTTCTTCAATTTTGAACACACACATTACCAGTTACTAAGTGAACATACACGCACACACACAAATATATATTCGTTTGACTTTGTGCATTAATGATGATGTCGATACATAATTGAATGTGATGAAGAGGGAAATATAAATTATGAAGGACATGAAAAATAAGGAAGGTGATAATGACAATGATATTTAGTTTAATGAACAAAATAAAAGTATGTAGCAACTGTTCATCGTATAACTATTGGATACATATCGTGGTAGGTAGGTGTGGTAGATAGGTAGATAGTGAGGTAGGTTAAAATAGATTAATAGATAAGTACGTAGATTAGTTGATTAGGGAACACATATGTCGTATAACTTTGTTTTAATGTTGTATACAAATAAATGGATTTGGCAAAGTATATGAATATAAAAATAGTTCATGGATGTGATAAAAATCGGTAAAAAGAATTATACAAGTAAAACAACATTAAATGAATTTAAACTTCACCCCATTGCACAAGCAAATGGCTATCAGGACTCAGTAGCTAAGTGAATAACGCAATGGCGTTTGAAGCAAACGGTACTGGGTTCGAATTTCACAGTGAACATCAACTCGGGTGCAGGTACATCCAGTTGACGAGTCCTAAATAGGAAGAAATACACGTCCTGGATTCCACTGCTAGCCATTATCCATCTTTATTTATTAACAATAATATAAAACCCAACCGGTCTAAAACACAAATGACCTCAGTCGAAAACACTTTAAATGGGTAACGGTTTTAAGGGTGATAGTGCTACAAACGTGCTAAAGACGAAAATTTCCAAGTGTTTGAATAGAACGTTCTTTTCAGCAATGTCGCAAATATTGTTTTCCGGTCGATCGTTGTTCACCAATAATCTGAAGGATAAGTTATCTCACCTGACCAACTGTATGTACATTTATCAATTTACCTGCTCCAGATTTTCCATGGTGGTCTAGCTTCAATTGACTCATGATTTCAACCTGTGAAATTTCTAAAAATCTCCATAAAACCCATTCTGGTAAATCAATCAATTAAGACCTAACTATTAAGTGTAATTCTTGAGCATCGTATCGATAATACGTATATAATATGTCTAGAGAATAATCATGATTGAATTTCATCAACATAGATTTCAAACAACAAAAATACATATTTTAATGTTGATTTTACAGTTCAAATATCTACTGGACATGTGCGTTGGGGGATAATCGACAATAAACTCTATCCGACTAGATTTCGTGCTAATTGATATTCATCATAAAAAGATACCTGTAACCCTGGGGAAATCAATACTCTGTGAGATTCGAACCCAAGTCACTCAACCACACACAATAACAGACGTCACCACTGAGATATTCAGTTGTGAATTGATCTCTAATAAAACAGATGTATTTATAACCGATTCGTCGACGAGTAGTAGTAACCAGTGTTATGTTTATTTAATTCTTTAGTGTTGATCAAATCCCATCGATATGCTGAATAACGCATAATTTGCGGTAACTAGTTATCGCTAATTCAAAATTCATCATTACCATTCAAAAAGTTAATCACTGATCTATTAATGT